AAGAAGATATTTTGAAGAATGCTGGTAATCAAACAGTTGATGGTCCCCATTGAATTCCATTGTATTCCTTTCCCTACTATGGAAGTCAGTGGGGACCAACAACTGTTTGGTTCTTCAGAATTCTTCAAAATATCTTTTTATGTTCAACATAAGAAAGAAACTCATACAGGTTTGGAACGACATGAGGCTGAATAAACGATGATAACATTTTCATTTTTGGGTGAACTATTCCTTTAAACAGAGAAGGAAAGAAAATACAGCAACACTTTACATTGGTGTTCCATTTGTTTTTATGCATTTTAGTATCATGAAAATGTATTTTTACAGCATTTATTATGGTTAATATCAGATTATGAATATACTTTTATTAATTATTGTTTAAAATATATTAATGTTAGTTTATACAACTTGAAATTAATGAGAAATTATGTAGAAATGAACATTTAACCAAGATAAAAGCTGCAAAAATATTAACATTATTGTAAAGTGTTATAGAAAATTCTGTAATATTTCATGTTGTTTGACACCCATATGACTTTTATCTTTCATGAAACAAAAAGGAGAACACTTGCTACCTAAGCTGCTCTTTTCCATATAATTAAAGTGGCCAGTGCACAATTTCAACAGTTACTTTTGTCTTTTTCTAATACAAGCCGTTGTATTGTTTCAGAATACTTCTTTTAGTCATAGGGACTCATTTTGAGGTCCTGTTATGTCCTTTCTCATTGTCACTGTCCAGTTTTTAGTTATGAAAAAGCACGTTGAATGGGATTGGTGCAAGAATAAAAGTCATATAGGTGTAACATGAGGGTTGAGAATGTGAGAATTTTTGAATGATTTTTGAAAAAGATAGTTCAACCAAAAATAAATTATTTACTCACCCTCATATTAGCATATTATATAAAGCATATTAGTTTCTTTTGTGAAACATAAAATATATTTTCAGAAAGTGTTTGTCCATACAGTGGAAGTCACTGGCCACCAAAATAGTTTGGCTACCCCAACACTATTCAGAATAACTGATTTTATGTTCCACAGAACAAAGTTACACAGGTCTGGAATGGCATGAGTGAATGATGACAAAAGTTTCATTTTTGGTTGAACTATCCCTAAAAGATTATGACTTTTATATTAAATAAGTGCAACGCATACCTTCTTAGAAATGTGTGGCCCAAGTAGGAGTGGTGATGCATCTGTCCACATTCATACCAAACAAGCTCAAAAAGACAAGTTTGACCCTGACAAGAATGATTTAATCCACAGTGTCAAGCAGAAAATTGTCCAGAAAAGCAACATTAAATACTTCATACAGGTACTTCCTCTCAACTTACAGAATAATGAGAGAAAGTAGCCTACAACGAAAGAAAGCAGTCAGGGGTTATAAGGCAAACCTCAACTCAGTTCACTGTAATACAAGATCACTCTTATAAATTACTCTATTTTGATTGAAGGAAACAAAAAAATAAGTGACCATAACACTTGAGGAAAATATTTATCAGGCTGGTCACTTTACGTATTAAAGAAAAATATTACAAGCTAAAGTCATCAGTAAGCCACTGTGATTTTACTTGTGATCTGAGGGAGGTTATTTTATCTGCTGGGTTAGTTACAAACTGGAAACACTTTCAGTGTGTTTGCTGGGAATGCTTGTGTGCATCAAGCATCAGCACACTAATCTGAACTCCTTCATTGCTCAGTTATCATAATTACTACACATTTGTCATGTCCTTTGAATATAAAGTCTCCTAGGTTCCCATTCAGTTGGTCATTGATGCTTTCCCACAGCAAGTGTTGTGTGATTTGCAGCTGGGGTAGTCTGTTGTCCGGAGTGCGATGATCCTGTGTTTGTTGGCGTTTTGAAGAAGTAGAGCTAAAAGAGAGATGGAAATGTATTAAATAGTAAAGATGAGTGTGTTTAATGGATGGTGTCATTTTACCAGAAGAAATGGCCAATCAAACTGCATGTGCAGCTGGAAGCGGAGGTAATGCTTATGTTATTTCAGTCCTTCGTACAGGATACACTATCGTTCAAATATTTGGGGTCAGTATTATTTATAAAAATACAGTAAAAACAGTATTTGTGAAATATTATTACAATTTAAAAATCCTTGTTTTCTATTATTAAATATTTTAAAATGTAATTTATTCCTGCGATGACAAAGCTGAATTTTAAGCATCATTTGTCCAGTCTTCAGTGTCACATGATTCTTCAGAAATCATAAACGCATGCGCGCACACACACTGACCCCAAACTTTTCAACTGTAGTGCATGTAACTTTATAAATCACTTTAAGCACTATCTGTTGTTGTCAATTACCACAATTTAATATGGACTCATCCTCTGGCTTGTAAAAATAAAATATCTTGAAACGTTTATTTGCTGTAATATCAAACCGGTTACAATTAAATGTGTTAGCATAAGACTGGTGTGAAAATGAACACTTTTCAGCTGTGTCTGTGCAAAGTAATATCCAATCTCTCAACATGCCATAACCAGCTATAAAAGGAACCAAAGTTACTTGTTAGGGTTGTGCAATTAATCGCATGCGATTAATTGCACAACCCTATCAGTAAAGCCGGATCCGTGATTAGTAGTAAATCTCCATCACCTGCTTTCAGATGGAGCGGCATTTACTACACAGAGCCGTAGTTCACTGAAGTAGTGCATGCCGCTCCATCTGAAAGCAGGTGATGGAGATTTACTACTAATCACGGATCCGGCTTTACTGACAAGATGCGCTTGACAATCGCATGCGATTAATTGCACAACCCTAACAAGTAACTTTGGTTCCTTTTATAGCTGGTTATGGCATGTTGAGAGATTGGATATTACTTTGCACAGACACAACTGAAAAG